TAATGTAAAAAAATACTTGCCTCACTATTGGTGATAATGGCAAGAACAGCAACACGTTTTTGTAGTTCGTTCTTGTTATATTTCTCATATACACCTCTGTTTATCCTTTGTTTATACTCTCAAAACACGCGCCATTTTGTATTTCACGATTACATCGCTAAAGCGGTTTTCATGTCAGCGACAACTTTATTTAATTAAGTACTTCATGTTAGGCAAATTACTTGTGGTAATTCGCGGGGGAAGGGCAGCGGGAAGATTGCGCCCCATTTTTCATCACAAGAAGACCACAGTTTTGTTGTGCCAAATTAACGTATTTAAATAATTTTGCGCTTCATGACGAGGCAATATTTGTATGTGTGTATAAATAAAAGGGGAGATCAAGTTGCCAATCTATCGCTGTGGAAGTGGTTCGACGTCCTTGGAATCGTTTCACCTCCACCTAAACCGTTTCATACCTGGTTAGGCCCTTTTTCAGCTTTCGTTATATTGACATTTGCAGCGACTAAATACCACTGATTTTTATTTCTTCAGGTACCAGTGCAAGTGCTCTGCATTTCCAAGCTTACCTTTTGGAAGGTTTGGCAAGGTGGAATGCTGGTCGAGTGAAAAGTGCTGCTGTCTCTGGTGATACCCCTGGTCCCGACTCCTATACCGGATCGCTGTTGAAAGCCGCCAACGATTTGACTGTTTCCCTTTTCGGAAAAAAAAATAAAACATGAAATAAAGGTTGGCGTGCACACTGGTGAGCTAATTGGCGTTTAGTATTTGTTCAGTCAGACTGGAAAGGTACTGAAGAATGCAACAAACGACGATGAAGAAATGGATCCAGGGGCCCAACAGCTATCGGAAATCGACCAGAAGAAATGCGTTGTCGAGGGGTTCGAGGATGAAGAAGATGGGACAGTTGGGCTTTCGATGGATGTTTTTGGAAATGGGGAAGGTACTGTACTCACATTGTGCAAAACTTGATCCAGATCTCTTCAATCATTCTAAATTTTTTTTACTTCTAGACATTGGAGAACACAGTCAATCGGACGTTGTCGTCGAGAAAGAACGTGAAGAATCGGCGGATGATGTGAGAAAATTGACGTTCTCAACGACAAGTTAACTGTTTAAATTCAATATATCGATAAAATTACTTTTTAGAAAAAACTGTTGGACCAGATAATATACCTGGCTTCGACAAAGCGAAGACATTGGAGGTGTTCTCTGTTCCTTGCGAGATTCGTGCACGGCTTTGAGCAACGACCAGGCAAAAGAGATAGTTCGCCTTTAGGATGACTATGACAAGCAACCGACACCCTTCTCCCCTCGTCACAGATCAAAATTGGTGAAAGGACGCTTCAAACCGCCCAGGAAACGCAGCAGCATCATCGTCCCGGGCCTAGACAGTACAAAAAGGTAGAACATTTCTATTCAACCAATTCCCACACTTCCATACTGACTTTTCTTTATTCCAAACAGGTGCTTCTTGGGCTCATCATCCGGACCAGCTCAATGGCCAGACTGCAATCGCTATGTCGAGTAGATCGAATGGGACAACGACTGCAAGGTGGACATTGGTTTGTTCCAGCTACAAAGCAATACGAGACAAAGTCGTGAACAACGCCATCGTAATACGAGGCTGTAACATCCAGTTGGTCGAAATCAACCAGACAACATTGAGCAAATGTTAAGAACTATGAAATGCGGTAAAGAACGTATACACTAACGTGACAGCCAACGCTTTGTTATTAACCTCGTCCTTTATTTTACCAGGTACAACAAACGTGAGAAAAAGAAGGAGAAGGATGTCCTGATTCAAGGCATTCGACTGCCGCAACCGAGCACAGTTGCAGAAGAACCACTGCCAAATGCCTCCCCTTTGCCACCAAGCCTACCTCAAGTAGCATTTCAACAGCCTTTTACCTTCTCCATTCAAGAAAATACTGTTGGAATGGGGAACGTAAGAGGTTCTGCACTGAAACCAAAACCACCACCCCCACCACCAACGGTCGTTCCCAGGTTGTCACCACAACCCATAGCACCGAATGTCCCGACAACCGCCGCCCCATCCACATCATCTTCCACATCACCCGAATACCACAATCGGAGTCAGTTCTATTACCAAAAGCGAAAGGCGGAGAAAGAAGCAAGTGGTGTAACAGTAAGGAAATACAGTGGAGGAAAGAAGCCAATAACCTGCGGAAAATGTAAAAAACCCCGAGACCCTTCCAGCCATAGACAGTATTTTGGCAATTGGTATTGCCAGGAAACGGCAAATGAAAGTTACGAAAGCTGGGTAAAAGATCTCAAAAGGAAAAAAGAATACAAAAAAAAGAAAACTTTATAACTGGTATAATTAGAGACAAGTGGAGAAAGTAAGACGATAAAAAAATGTTTAATGCTGCCTAGTGTTTTGTCACTAGAAGGTCCCAAGCCCTTGAAAAGCAGAGGGAAAATTGTTCCTTTTATGTCGATTATATTCAAATTTCCCGCTTTTCGGGTGAATTCCCCCGTCGTCACGAAAAAGCCCTTTTCCTGCATCTTGAGGGTTATCTCTGACAGAGAAGATTGCGCCCCAGCTTTTGCGCAAAAGCAGACTGGTTTCTCTCGGTTTATCCACAGGATGTAATCGGCAAATTGGATGAAACCAAAACAAAAATAACATCTACATTTGGCACAATCCTAAAAATGGACTCTGCTAAAAATGTATTTAAATTTGAATTTAAAACAATAATGTCGTTTAATAATACTTTTTTTTCAGGGCACACAAGGTATAACAGGCAATAATAGCAAACATAGTGATAAATTACTCATTGTAGATTGTCAAGAAGTTAGCTGGCACAGCATCGTGGTGTTGGAAATGAGTTTGGACAAGTACTCATTTCCTTCACACAAATGTTAGAAATGAGTTTGGACAAGTACTGATGTCAGTCTTCACAGACTTAGAAGGCGATGGTCTAGATGACATGGAAGAAAGCCACATGTCCAGGTACGAAAGGGCCAACGTCGAAGCACCAAGAGTCCTTTACGTAGATCGAGACCGCTGTTTCGCGAGAGTAAAGGAACAGTTTCACCAATTTCATGACATGGTGATCAGGCTGGATGTGTGGCATTATATGCGACGTATAGCTGTTGGGTGTTGTTCAGAGTGCCATGCCTTGTATGGAACATTTATGTTGCAGCTGTTTGGTTGCATATTTGAATGGGATTCTGAAGATATAAACAGGCTTTATGAAGCCAAGCATGCCCAGCTTTTTTGCTTCTGGCATTACAACAGTGCCTAAGGAGGGAATAGCAAAGCATGTCAGCAAAAAGGAATTGGCAACCCATTGTAAAGGGCGGGCGAACTCGAGGTTCTGAAGTGTGTTCTCGACTTATTCAACAACTCATTAAGACTTTCTCTTCGAATGTGGGGAAAGGCATGATGGGAATTCCATTGCTTGATGATGACCGTGCTTGGCAGATCTGGGAGGAGCAGCAAAAACATTTGCCTTGTATCCAAGACGCAGCCGGCATTACTCTCTACACCTGTACTGGCTACACAATGAAAGGAAATATCAGTCCATCCACCTACAGATATGATGGTTCATTGATAACTTTGCAAATAACTTTGATTTAGATTTTGTGTTTTGATAATACTGTAACACATTCTTAAGATAAAGCTACGATAATTTTTATGGTATTTGTAACTGATTTTTCTCGAATATGAATTAAACAGATTTTTTTACCAAGCAAAGATAGTATTTTTTCCCTTTAAATCAATAAACCATCAATAGATGGAACCTGAAACTTGAATGTTAATTAGACTGTGAAATAACATCATTTTTAGCATTTGCTTTAAAATTTGCACCTTGCTTGCATACCAGATGGCATGAATTTCTGTAGAATTACTCTATATAAATTTATGAATATGTCCCACATCACCTCATCATTGTCCCAATTCACCACATGTGGTACAAAGTGAAAACTGATGTGTTGTACTAGTGGTCCCAATACAACCAGGTTATTTTTAAATAAAAACTACCATGATTAGCATACAACTAAATATACATTAGCTGCTTAAACTAGATATGGAGATTTAATCATATAACATTTAAAGATTTCTCCTTTCTGGCTTTTTCATTACCAAATTATTTCAAACATGGAAAGTGTCCAAATTCATCCCTTTGTATGGTACAACAGAAATAGTTTAAACGACAAACTAGGCAATAGAAACGCGGAAGTGTTTTCTACAAAGGCGCCATGTAATAGCACAGTTTCACAATGCTTCATACAACTTCAAACAAGGATTTTTATAAAAAAACTGGGAAATAAAAAAATTTTTTTTGGAAAATTGTATGATTTTAGTAACAATGACAACTTGCATGGTAAAAGCATGAAATATTACTTTATGCTTGAATTAAATTAAGATTATCAAGCATACATTGTACATTTGCACTCAAGTGCTTCCCTTCAACTGCAGCCAATTAAAATTAATTATAAGGGCTGGAATTCTAGCAATTTCCCACAACATAAATTTGCATCTTCTCTTTAAATAAATTATGAAAGTCAGCATGCAATTACCACTTTTTGTAAGGCAAAAGGATGAAAATATAAATAATGCACAGCATGCACACCCCAGTATATGAAAAGTTTGGCTGCAAAAAATATAATGCTAATCACCATACCTGTGTAGAAAAAACTACATTCTTATTGTTGCTGTATACTTCCTTAATCTTGGCAACATCAATATTCAGAGGGTAGATGCAATATTGCTTCACCATGTGTACAAGTAAAATCCATATATATTAATCCATGTAAATCCACTAATTTGGAACCATGATAATAACTTTCATAGCATCATCCAGTTTCAAGTTTCTAAATCTGGTTGGCATCAAAAGTTACAGGTTCAGAATAAGTTTATCACTGTATTGCGATGGATACCATTTTCTTTCTGAACTGGTCCAAAAAGTTCTAATGCCTTATGCCCAAGATGGCACCACACACTTTTGCTAACTTTATATTCTTAAGATTCTTTATAAGGCCCAATCCAGGACAGCATCCAACAGATTAATCACACTATAGTCCTAAAAAATAAACAACTGTATAAATATCAAACTATAATCATCTTGCAAGCATTATGTGGTCCTCTATTTTGTATAAAACTGGAATAAAACAGCCTTAAATTCATCCATAATTAAATTACAGGGGAATTTAAGGCTGTGCACAGGCTTAAAACTGGATAGCCGTTTGGAGAAAAACGTTTAAAATACAAGCTATAACTTGGAGTGGATCTATTAATATTTTTATGTATTTTCAATTTTTGTATGGTAAATCAACATTGAATATCTGAACATGTCCAGCAACTTATTAAGCATGAAACAAAATTGGTTGTATGATGAATTGTCTATTTAAAAGTTGGTATATGATCAAGTTTTTAACCAAATGCAATGTTTTAATTAAACACTTTTTTTGAACACACTTATTATATATTAAAGGAATTCCAAGAAGAAGTATACCCTAGGTAATTTAGGTTTTTCTATTTAAAGTGTTTTACACTTTGTATTGCACGAACATTCAAACAATAACAATACACACTATTTAATCTCAAGCAGGGCAAAAATTCTATGGAATATGCCATATGATCGATGAAAGCATGCATACTACCCATACAATGACCAGCTAGGTTGTAAAAATTATTGCTAATTACCTGCACAGAAGAGATTTTACAGGTTTTTCGTATTCCTCCAATCTTCAAAATTCATTGTCCAGAAAATAGATTGTGTAACCAAGAGTATATACTGGACAGCACATTTCTTTCCTTTATGTTTGTTAAACCACTTTCTTCTAACCACAAGATTTTACAATTATGATATCCATATGTATTTTTTGAACATCTTTCTTGAGCGTTATATCCAGATTAGCATGAAAGCCATTGCCTCATGAAAGTTTCAGGGCTGCTGCATGTTTTATATAGTAGCATTCTTTGCAAATTGGATGATGTTAATCCAAGATAGTAACCTAACTGGTTTTATATTAGACTGCGGTGATTTTACATTAGTCATGGTCCTATCTTATTACATAACTTCCCGATTGAAAGATACTTGATTGGAAAGGACAGAAATGATCTCTGGTGGTGGCACACATTCATTACTCCAATTGCAGAATGTATGCAAATTGTCTTGACTCACTGCTTTCCAATTGGGTTCTAGCATAATCCAGGGCATATAGCAGATAACTTGCCAACAGTCCAAAAAAGTAGCAATGATACTGAACTTAACATTACCAGTAATTTCCAACCACCTTGAAGAAAGAAGGGATGATAGTTTGTAACCGATTGAATTGGCATTAGACCAAACATTTGTTCGGTTTTGAGTGATACCTTTTTCTCTCAAGTATGCTTTTTTACTAATCAATGGTTTGATATATTGATATATTTTTTTTAAATTGAATAAAAATGAAAAAAATATAGAAAAGCTAATGTTCATAAATCAACACACCAGGAAAACTTGAAAGTGAAGGTTGCAAAAGGTGTATTGCGTAGGTTAAGACCTTTAAACCTCAGAATTTATGTGCATTGAGTGAAGTGCCAAAAATTGCAGCATGTATGATTCAGTGGAAAAGCTACTACGTAATTGGTATCAAAGGGAATTAAAAGGATTCATTACTAAATCACACCCGCATATTTATTTCGGCGAGCATATACGGCGAGCGAGTATTATTGTTTAACTTTGCAATCTAAATAAGCCAACAAAAAAAGGACTTACCCATCGTGTTTTTTATAAAGAAACAGCTAAGCACATGTGCCAATCATCGACCAGATCAGGCATCGACTTGCGCGTTCAAATTAATTTCTGTCTTCAGCATACGGCAAAACACGTGCGTGAAATTCACCATTTCATTTCATCTTTAAACAACCATATTCGCGCTAACCTTCCACAACGAATCGATTTGCCTAACTCACTTCACTTCTCAAACCACAAAATTGGTTTTTGAAACGATTCGAAATTTCATTTCGTTTGTTAAAAGGAGAAAAAAAATGATCGAGGAACCGACACAACAATCTTCAAATTGAAAATGCAATCTGAATAACGCAGTGCTACCACTTTCAAAATTTAAAAACACCTTTTTCCTTTTTTCCTCCGCCAGTAATCGAAGCAACCTCGTACCCAGGGTCTTTTAATCGCTGTAGCTTCGCGCGTGTGCTCCCGCGAACACGAAACAAACGAGGACGCAACTTATATAGGAATTTTAATATAGCTCAGTGATAATGCCTCCTTTAGTTTTATTTATAATCTCTATGGTGATGGCAGCAATAGAGGAATCTATTAGAGTTGGTTCCATTGACTCTAATTTCTAACAACCGAGAAATGACAACGAAGTCACGTGAACACCCAATTTCCTGATCGGTAGTCAGCTAACTGCACTAATAAGAGCAAGATAAATATAACGAAATATATGAATTCTAATTGAAAAAAAAGAAATAGACAATTCCCATGCCGGGCCGAAAAAAACCCATGGCAGTGGGAGCACCTAAGTATGGCCACTAGACCATAGGTTATGGCAGCATTATAGAAATCCATTAGAGTTGGTTGACTCCCGTGGTGATTTGAACACCTGACCTTCCGATTTGGGGTAAGACGCGCTACCTATTCCGCCAAGAGGCCTTTGCTAGATGCGATGGGAAATAAGTTCCAAAATAAATGTAGTGAATTCCCACGCCGGAAATCGAACCCGGGTCATAGCGGCGAGAGTGCCAGATCATAGCCACTAGACCACGTAGGAACTTGGTGACACCAGCATTGAGGACTCTTTTACAGTTGGATGAGTCTAATTTTTACCAACTGAGAAATGACAAAACGAATTTAACCCCGAAGTGATTTGAACACCTAACCTTCTGATCTGGAGTCAGACGCGCTACCAATTGCGCCACGAGAACTTAGCTAGCTGCACGGAGAATTAAATCGCAAGATAAATATTGTGAAATATTTCCATATTTAAGGAAGAAGAAATAGACAACTCCCACGCCGGGAATCGAACCGGGGTCATGGCGGTGAAAGCGCCAGATCATAGCCACTAGACCACGTAGGAACTTGGTGACATCAGCATTAGAGGAATGTTTTATAGCTGGTTGACTCTAATTTTTACCAACTGAGAAATGACACAGAGAATGAGCTGCACAGAGAATTAAATTAAAATATAAATATAGTGAAATATATGGATATTTAAGGAAGAAGAAAAGGCAATTCCCACGCCGGGACTCGAACCCGGGTCATGGCGGTGAGAGCGCCAGATCATAGCCACTAGACCACGAGGGAACTTGGTGACACCAGCATTAGAGGAATATTTTACAGTTGGATGACTCTAATTTTTACCAACAGAGAAATGACAAAACGAATTTGATCCCGAAGTAATTTGAACACCTAACCTTCTGATCTGGAGCCAGACGCGCTACCAATTGCGCCACATAGCCTTATCTAGCTGCACGGAGCATTAAATTGCAAGATAAATATAGTGAAATATATGGATATTTAAGGAAGAAGAAATAGACAATTCCCACGCAGGGGAATCGAACCAGGGTCATGGCGGTGAGAGCGCCAGGTCATAGCCACTAGACCACGTGGGAACTTGATGACACCAGCATTAGAGGAATCTTTTACAGTTGGATGACTCTAATTTTTACCAACTGAGAAATGACAAAACGAATTTGATCCCGAAGTAATTTGAACACCTAACCTTCTGATCTGGAGTCAGACGCGCTACCAATTGCGCCACGAGGCCTTAGCTAGCGGCACTGAGAATTAAATTGCATGATAAATATAGTGAAATATATAGATATTTAAGGAAGAAGAAATAGACAATTCCCACGAGGGGAATCGAACCCGGGTCATGGCGGTGAGAGCGCCAGATCATAGCCACTAGACCACGTGGGAACTTCGTGACACCAGTATTAGAGGAATCTTTTACAGATGGTTGACTCTAATTTTTACGACCTGAGAAATGACAAAACGAATTAGACCCCGAAGTGATTTGAACACCTAACCTTTTGATCTGGAGTCAGACGCGCTACCAATTGCGCCACGAGGCCTTAGCTTGCTGCACGCAGCATTAAAATGCAAGATAAATATACTGAAATATATGGATATTTAAGGAAGAAGAAATAGACAATTCCCACGCCGGGAATCGAACCCGGGTCATGGCAGTGAGAGCGCCAGATCATAGCCACTAGACCACGTGGGAACTTGATGACACCAGCATTAGAGGAATCTTTTACAGTTGGATGACTCTAATTTTTACCAACTGAGAAATGACAAAACGAATTTGATCCCGAAGTAATTTGAAGACCTAACCTTCTGATCCGGAGTCAGACGCGCTACCAATTGCGCCACGAGGCCTTAGCTAGCGGCACTGAGAATTAAATTGCATGATAAATATAGTGAAATATATGGATATTTATGGAAGAAGAAATAGACAATTCCCACGCCAGGAATCGAACCCGGGTCATGGCGGTGAGAGCGGCAGATCATAGCCACTAGACCACGTGGAAACTTTGTGACACCAGCATTAGAGGAATCCTTTAGAGATGGTTGACTCTAATTTTTACGACCTGAGAAATGACAAAACGAATTTGACCCCGAAGTGATTTAAACACCTAACCTTTTGATCTGGAGTCAGACGCGCTACCAATTGCGCCACGAGGCCTTAGATAGCGGCACTGAGAATTAAATTGCTAGATAAATATAGTGAAATATTTCGATATTTAAGGAAGAAGAAATGGATAATTCCCACGCCGGGAATCGAACCCGGGTCATGGCGGTGAGAGCGCCAGATCATAGCCACTAGACCACGAGGGAACTTGGTGACACCAGCATTAGAGGAGTCTTTTACAGATGGTTGACTCTAATTTTTACGAACTGAGAAATGACAAAACGATTTTGACCCCGAAGTGATTTGAAAACCTAACCTTCCGATCTGGAGTCAGACGCGCTACCAATTGCGCCATGAGGCCTTAGCTTGCTGCACGGAGCATTAAATTGCAAGATAAATATAGTGAAATATATGGATATTTAAGGAAGAAGAAATAGAC